TCTTAATCATGCTTGGTTTGGATAAATGGGTTTTCCATGTGGCTTGAATTAATCTGATGAATCTGCAATGTGCTTATTTTTCATCAACATATTTTCTGTAGCACTATATAGTATGCCAATAGCTTTAAGTATTAGTCGTTGGATATGCCCATCCAACGGTCAAGAGATGGCAAATCTGAGCATTATCATCCGTTGTATATAGTTTTTAACTCATAGGATACTGCCACGTGGCCTTCTAATTGAAAACCCAACTCTACCATCTCATGTGTTCTAGAAGTATCTGTCCACATGCTTATCCGATACTCTAATAAAAAGAGGCTAGAACAATCTGGATTTAGAGAGGTAAGAACCAAGTTGGATCTTGTCTAGTATGATTCTAGAAAAGGAAATACATATTCAAATGTATTTTTCCATGCTTTTTATATATATTTAAATGACGTGCAAAGCACGTACAATTTACTAGTACTGATAGCATGCGAACCCTTACTTAACTTGATGACTAACTACCTTATATGTGTTGCATGGAAATAATGGGAAGCACTGAGGTTTACAAGATGGTACTAACTATTATACCTTGCCTTTTTTTTATTTCTTTGCCCCATTTCCAATATAAAGAAGATATTTATGCACATCCTTGTTTTCGGGCCTTTCCAAAGCAGTTCACTGATGATTACCTCTCAAACCACCTCTATGGTCAGGAGGCAAGGAAAGTTTTCATACAACACCCATGGTTCAATATTAAAGTGTTCCTGAAGAGGACAAAGGATGGACGGTCAATCATCCACAGGCACTGGCCTAAAGTTGTAAAGACCTTCAACATGATTGAAGATTCAATATTCGCCTTCCGCTTCAGCAGTTTCCAGATGAGATGCATATGTCTATGTACCGTCTATGAACTTAATTTCAAAAGGTTCTAGATGTTGCATGTGAAACTTGGTGCTCGTGCAGTTGTGTAATGGGGTAGCTGAGTGCTGAAGCTATATCATGTTGTACTCGGATGTATTTCAATTATGAAGTCCTGCTTCCTTAATATAGAAATGAAAAATATTATGTGCTTAATATGAATGTCAATTAGATTAATAAATGAATTATTAATAATAGGGCAATTAGCCTGCTAATTGTCCAATTAGCCTGCTAATTGGGCTTTCCTATTGCAAACGGTTATTGAGAAAACACCGTGGGCAATGACCTTAGGCGATGCACACAATTTCTAGGAATAAACCGTGTTGGATCAATGAACAATCACACATGGCATTCTCTTCAAAATTGTTTGCGCTACGCCACCTTGAGCAAACGTTTTCCTTGGAGTGACTGTGTGGGATGTATATACGAACGGAAACGTTTAGGGGACTGCCTGTGTGGGATGTACTTATGAGCGAAAACGATTTCGCCTGTATAATTGTATTTTTTAGCACTACTGTACGTATAACCGTATTTGCTTGCTCACCGGTCGCACACGACCTCATTTTGCCGAGCGTGTGTGCCAGGAGAGCATATCTCTGACGATTTCTGGATCGTGTGGGAAGGACCCCCACTATCGCTCGCACTCACTTGGCGACGGTTCCAAATGTCGTCGCAGAAAGTGGTTAAAAACCGTTTGTATAGCACCTCGGTGTACCAGTGAACTATTAATATTAAATCACATGGTGATGTGAACTAGATTATTGACTCTAGTGCAAGTGAGAGACTGAAGGAAATATGCCCTAGAGGCAATAATAAAGTTGTTATTTTATATTTCCTTATTTCATGATAAATGTTTATTTCTCATGCTAGAATTGTATTAACCGGAAACTTGATACATGTGTGGATACATAGACAAAACTCAGTGTCCCTAGTAAGCCTCTACTAGACTAGCTCATTAATCGAAGATGGTTAAGTTTCCTAACCATAAACATGTGTTGTCATTTGATGAACGGGACCACATCATTAGTGAATGATGTGATGGACAAGACCCATCCGTTAGCTTAGCATAATGATCGTTCAGTCTTACTGCTATTGCTTTCTTCATGTCAAATACATATTCCTCCGACTATGAGATTATGCAACTCCCGAATACCGGAGGGATGCCTTTTGTGCTATCAAACGTCATAACGTAACTGGATGATTATAAAGATGCTCTATAGGTATTTCCGAAGGTGTTTGTTGGGTTGGCATAGATCGAGATTAGGATTTGTCACTCTGAGTATCAGAGAGGTATCTCTGGGCCCTCTCGGTAATGCACATCATAAGAAGCCTTGCAAGCAATGTGACTAATGAGTTAGTTGCAGGATGATGCATTACAGAACGAGTAAAGAGACTTGCCGGTAACGAGATTGAACTAGGTATGAAGATACCGATGATCGAATCCCGGGCAAGTAACATACCGATGACAAAGGGAATAATGTATGTTGTCATAATGATTTGACCGATAAAGATCTTCATAGAATATGTGGGAGCCAATAAGAGCATCCAGGTTCCGCTATTGGTTATTGACCAGAGATCAGGTGTCTCAGTTGTGTCTACATAGTTCTCAAATCCGCAAGGTCGCACGTTTAATGTTTGTTGACGCTAGAGTACTATTGGGATATTTGATGAGTGGTAACGAAATGTTGTTCAGAGTCCCGGTTGAGATCCCGGACGTCACGAGGAGTCTCGTAATGGTCAAGAGGCAAAGATTTATATATAGGAAGTCATATTTTGGGTTTCGGATAAAGGTGCAGTTTTTTGATATTGTACCGGGAAGCTTCCAGAAGGTTCCAGAGGGGTCCGGAAGTCCACAAGTGGGTTCACCACGACCCAAGGGCTAGCATGGGTTGCGAGGAGGTGCCCTGTAGGCGTATCAAGTCCTCAAAAGCCCATGTGGCTAGGGAAGGCAAAAAAAAGGAAGGAGTCCTAGTAGGAATAGGATTGGACTTGGAGTCCAAGTCCTCTCCCCCTTAGTTGTGCCCTTGGGCTTGGAGGGGCTGTTCGCCACGCCCCTCCACCTATATATAGAGGGGACGGGGGGCCCAAGAGGACACATCAAGCCCTTGGCGCCCCTCTCTCTCTCTCCCGTTACTCCGTAGTTCCACCGCCTCGTCCCGGCGACGCTTAGCGAAGCGCTGTCGGTGCTCCACCACCACCATCACCACCATATCGTCGTGTTGGTTGTGATCCCATCTACTTCTCTCCCGCTTGCTGGATAAAGGAGGAGACGTCATCAAGCCGCATGTGTGCTAAACTCGGAGGTGTCGTCCGTTTGGCACTAGATTGGTTGGATCATGAAGAAAGTTCGATTACACCAACCGTGTTGTGAAACACTTCTGCTTTCGGTCTACGAGGGTACGTAGACACACTCTCCCATCTCGTTGCTATGCATCTCCTAGATAGATCTTGCGTGAGCGTATGATTTTTTTTGAAATTGCATGCTACGTTCCCCAACACGTTCCGGCCTGTCCTTTGCTACAAAAAGAATTGGGCTACATTGCTGCACTTTTGTTACCATTACTACTTATCGCTCGTTAAAAATTACCTTGCTATCAAACTACTTGTTATCGATAATTTCAGTGCTTGTAGAAAATACCTTACTGAAAATCGCTTGTCATTTCCTTCTGCTCCTCATTGATTTCGACGCTCTTACTTACCGAAAGGACTATGATTGATTCCCCTATACTTGTGGGTCATCAAGGGGGTCAAAAATTCTGAGAGGGCAGTAGAAGGTTTGCCACATGCTTTGGTGGTTTTGAGTGGATGACTTGGCAACTCCGAAATGCTAGGGTTTCCAGTAGCTATATCTTGGTGAGCTGCTCGACGGTTCCGACTAGATGAGCTTGACAACTCCATGGTGTGAAAGATGGGTAGATATAATGAAGAAAAGTGAAGGCGTTTGAGGGCATTTGAAGTCTGATCTTTAAGCACTAAGAGGACTAAACAAATCACATCATCCTCATCCCCTTTTCATAGTATCAACATGTATATGGACTCAATGTGTTATTGGATCACCAAAATGAAAATGGAGAATCCTTGGCTTGGCCATCACTTTTCTTCATAATAATTTGTGGGGGTCACCTTTCATTTCACTAGAAGATACCCCGCGCGTTGCTGCGGAACCATTATAAAACAAATGGGAAACTTTGGCTTATAGAACTATCTTTTCATGGAAAAAAGGATTTACAAAACTTGTATTTTAGATACATGAAGCAATTTAGTGACAAACAGCCCCTCCTCCTAAATTGTTCCACTAGAAAAAATACATAGCTTAATTGACTTCACAAAGTAACATATTTTCACTATTTCTATTGTAGGAATCATATGCATGGTCCTCTGACACTCAGGTGATCTCTTTTTTAGGGGATAAAAGAAACATCTAATAAGTTAATGGTTATACCAATACATCACATATATCAGGTTAATATTTTTCTTTTTTGAGCGGTATATCATGTTAATATTATGCACATACAATAGCTGATTCATGGTATGCTTCCACCCATTAGTTTGTATACATTTTATCTCATAATCTGAGATCTATAAAAAGAAGTGACATTCTCGTAAGCCATCTCAGATGATGAGATAAAATGTATACAAACTAATGGGTGGAAGCATACCATGAATCAGCTATTGTATGTGCCTAATATTAACATGATATACTGCTCAAAAAAGAAAAATATTAACCTGATATATGTGATGTATTGGTATAACCATTAACTTATTAGATGTTTATTTTATCTCCAAAAAAAGAGATCACCTGAGTGTCAGAGGACCCATGCATATGATTCCTACAATAGAAATAGTGAAAATATGTTACTTTGTGAAGTCAATTAAGCTATGTATTTTTCTCGCAAAAGGAAAATAATTAACCCGATAATATTTTCAGAAAATTAAACCCAGTGTTTATGAAGGTTTGTATGGCTGCAACAAGATTATCCAATAGGCTATGTAACAGACGTAAGATATCAAATGCAATGGATGTGTAGTGCAAATAAAAATCAAAAGTTTTGTAAAAGGTGGGGCTCTTACGTACCAAACCTGTCAGATGGTTGTACATGAATTTCATAATTAGGATTAGGTTGCACATCAAGAAGCACTTTTCATACCCTTACTTATCCGAAGAACAACATAGAATTGGGTTGCACAGGTTCCAGCATGTTCATCTGCACAGGAAAAAAGTAACTGAAGAAGAACATGAACACATGAAGTTAAACTGCAGAAGCGTTGATGCCATCCTCGACCAGTTCAACCTAGCAAGCACCTTTGGAGCTACGAGCAAGCGCCACAAAACATACATACATCACATCACAATAGGTAATCAAGCCAATAAAAAAGCAAGAAATCCAGAACAGATCGGAGGCTCGAGCTCACCATTGATACTGATCTTGATCAGTGCTGTGCAGACCATGGAAATCAAACAAAAAAGACAGAAGATTAATCCTCCAAAGCACCACCAGAAATCCAAGATCAGTATGGCCGCATCAGGCGCGACCAAGGGCCCCAACGTGAGGAGGCAGGCAGCGGAGCGTTCCATTGGTATCGGGGCCGCGACGGCGATGGCCGCATCTTGTGCTTCTGAGGACGCCAGCGCGAGGAAACCCGAAGCAGAGCGGCGCGTCCGAGGTGGCCAGTGTGAGGAGGACCAGGAGCAGGTGTGCGTACAGGCTGATTCGGCTGAGCGGGGATGGCCGCATCGATGACTCCTTCCACAGAAAGGTTGAACGGATCCGACGTGAGCGCCCGTAGGGATAGCTAGAGCTCCGATGTGCCTAGAATCAGAAGGCCAATCTTGGCACGGGAGGCAGTTCCTTGGTGCGGGACAAATCGTTGGAGACTTGGACGGACGGGGAGACTGGGAAAGCAGAGCGGAGGGGAGGAGAGGGGAAGAAGAAGCGGCAGCTAAAGAGAGGAAGCGGAGAAGGCCAACTCACACTCGCTCGTCTGGGCTTCCAAGCTGTATTGATTGGGCGGCTCATTAGGAAGTCGAAAGTGAAAAGGCATGTCAAAAAAATAGTAGTAAAACGCGTGCCCGTGAATTGTGTTGAGGTGAACAGAGGTGGTTGTGTTGAATCGGATGGCTACATGTAGTTCATGCCTTGATCGATGGCTGAAATTAGTTGGGGTGATGTGGCTTAAGGAGGAGTTAGAGAATTCCTTGTAGTGGGGAGCTCCTATTTAGATATAGTAGATTTGTTGCAACCTAAGGAAAATTTCTTGAGATAAGGTAGTAAAAGCATTAGGGCCAGTTCTTTTCGCCTCATGATTCTCCAGAATCTAATTCTGGGAAACTGCCCACATAATCAATTGTCCAATTCTTTTTTGAGATTCTAGCGTGTGATTGTTGTATGAGTTGTGTGCTAAAATGTTAGTAACACCCCTAAATTGTAATTGCGTGTTGAATTGCTAAATCTCATAAAGTGTTCAACCACAGAATTTTTTTGTACTAGCAGCCATCAATCCATTGCATCAACTACTACATGTTTGCATCACCCATATCAGCATACAAATTAGCAAACAACTAATAAGCATCAACAGAGAGAAAATAGTTATAATGAGAGGGAGAGAGAATGAAATAGAGAGGTTGGCTCGGGAGAGGAGCTCAATAGCAACAGGAGGAGCTAGAGAGGCTGGCACGGGAGACAGATCGTCCAGAGCTCCTGCAAAGGGCGGCAGACGGGACGGGGCGGGCGGAGCTCCTCCAGATGGTGTTGTGGTCGGGATGGGGCGGCAGGACGAGAAGGTGCGGAGCGAATGAGACGGGGCGGCCGGATTCGCCGACTGGCGGCAGATCTGAGGCCATCGGGATTGGATCGTAGGCTGGCGGCGACACGAGGACGAGCGAGCAGGGGGCTTCGTGGATCATTTTTTTGGGCCTGTATGCAGCTTGGCCTGAGTGGTATTTTCAAGGTAAATACCTTGTCCAATAGGGGTAGTTGGTGAAGACAAAACGTTTTTTTAGGGTTTGGCCAGAATCGCGAGAATCGCCAAGTTTCCACGATTCTAAAATGCACTACTTAGTCTGGTGATTCTGAGATGATCCCTGGAGAAGAAATAAGTTCTTTTGCGATTTTGATTTCTCAGACCGTGATTCTCCAGAATCGAGTCAAAATAACTGGTCTTTAGTCCACTAAAATATATTGACATTAATGATAAAAATCCACCAAGAGGATTAGATTCCCTTTCAATACTACATGAGATGGCCAACAAAAGGTTGTTCTATTAGAAGACGTGAAAAAAAAACACCTACAACTAAATTGGTATCTCTCGCTTCAAACCCTTCAAAAAGAGAGTGCACGCTTACGCTAACATCATCAAGTCCAACTTCAAAGTAACTCTCGGTAAACTTGATCTTGCTATTTCTGACCCTCTTGTGTTGTGCACATAAATACCGTTGCAACTCCATTTTTACGCATACTAGCACGCTGGTGCGTTGCTATGAAACCACAAAAAGATTAATTATATTGGACTAGCAAATATGCCCGTGCGTTACAACGGAAAACAAAAAAAAATTATGCGTTAGCCAAATAAGTATGACTCAATACCCCGACATACGAGTGTCCTCTATTTTAACACGGTTACTCACCATGTTGCCATTTATCTTTCTTCTCACCCTCGCCGATGATGGTCGTGATGTCCATGTGATCACAATGCATTCGACGTGGTAAATCCCAAGGCTATGAGCTTATCAATTCACGCCACACTTGTCATTATGTTGCACAAGGGAATGTTTGAAACTTCAAAAAAATCTTATCAACCACAAACTACTCCCAACGCTTAGACATATAAAGACTTTCCAACAACTCATCAAATCCTAGACATAAAATACTTTTGAATCGGCGAACAGTTTTTTGAATCACAATTATTTTTGAACTTTTGGATTTTTTTTAAATCACGAGCACTTGTTTTGTTTACGAGCATTTGTTTGAAATGCATGAACATTTTTCAAATTCATGGATACTTTTTGACTCAACAATTTTTTGTTGAATCGATGTTTTTTTTAAAAAAAGGGGAACAAAATTTTAAATTCATGATTTTTTTTTGAATTTTTTGTGAACATATTCTAAAATTCCATGGACATTTTTTTCAGATTCATGAATATGTTTTGAACACATGATCATTTTTTAAAATCATGAACATGATTTTATGTCCCAACTATTTTTTTTCACATCGTGATTTTTTTATAATTTGTGAACAGTTTGTAAAATCAGCAACATTTTTTGAATCCTTGAAAATTTGTCATTTCACAAATATTTTTTTAATTCACAAACATTTTATGATTTCTCAAACATTTTTTAAAGAACTCGCAACTTTTAAATTTTTTAAAAATCCTGAATTAATTTAAATAAGAATATAACAAAATGAGAAAACAGGGACGTCAAGCCCCGAACATGGGGTGGCACTTTGTGTATCTTGTGTTTTGTAAGGAAATTATCTCCATAAAAGAATGTAGCACAACGACGAATTTTTAAAATAAAAATTGAATCGGTTTCTTTACATGTGGGTGGCATAGTGGTTAGTTTATAGCAACTTTGGGATATTTTGTTTGGACGAACGAGTAAAATCACTATTCCTTTTATTATTAGAGAGAGATAGAGATTAGTACTCCCTTTGTTTCTAAATATAAGTCTTTTTAGACATTTCAAATGGATTATAACATACAGATGTATATAGACATATTTTAGAGTGTAGATTCACTCATTTTGCTCCATATGTAGTTTCTTGTTGGAATCTCTAAAAAGACTTATATTTGGGAACGGAGGGAGTAGTATATAACAACCCATGCACATGCAACATTGCAGAGAAGAAGGTGTGTGTGTGGGGGGGGGGGGGTCCCTCAACTCCAAATTAGTAGAGATTAATTTAAATCTTTTGGGTTTCATAATTCAACAGTATTTTAAATCTTTTCGTAAAACAAAAACAATATTGTAAATCTATAGTTCTTCAATTTTTAAATTCAAAACAAGGTAGCAACAAATGAGAAAGCAACATTGTCTTTTCACTTGTGCGCATGCAACCGAGGTCTAGACTGAACTGAAACTCTCATACCTCATTCAAGATGCAGTGGCCCAGGACCGGTCTGGTTCAATAAATCTGGAAATTTTGCTCCAAAATCACTCATTACTCCATGAACTTCCTGCTGTTAAACTGATCATAGTTGCAATGTGGTATATCTGGTGGCAAAGAAGGCATGGCGTGAAAGGCGAGTCGATTCAGACACCTCAACGGACAGCAATGACTATTTGAGTGTTGGCTACAAATTTTATTCGCAGCTGTACACCGAAACACTCTTGCCGGAAGGATGATCATATGTGGAAGAAATCAAACCAGGGGACTGTTAAAATTAACGTGGACGCATCATTTCATGCTGAAAATATGTCAGGAGTTTGCGGAGCTGTGGCCAGGGATGAGCAGGGCAACTTTATTGCAGCGGCAGCTTGGATATTACCACACGTATCATCCGCAGTAGCTGCAGAAATGAAGGCCATTCGAAGTGGAATAATCCTAGTGTCTAATATCGGATATACCAAGATTATCATGGAATCTGATAGCATGAACGCTTTGGAGGTATTTGCGTCCGGAAGCATACATGAGTCCTGATACTCCGATCATTATGTAAGCCACTATCTTAGCCTTGAAGTTTTCAGATATTACTTTTGTCCACTGTCACGGGGGAGCAAATCTAGTGGCGGATATTTTAGCTAAGCATTGCTTTAGTTTAAATGCTTCAGAATATCGGGAGGGGGATGCCCGTGACTTTATTCTTCCCCAGACTGTAAACGACATGGCTATTGTTTGAGAAATACAATTTGATATGTTGAAAAAAAAGGTAGCAACAAATGAGACTGACCACCCGCGGACAAGCGATGGACCCTAGTCTCGCGAGTCTTTGCTTGAGGTCTTGACCTGCCGTCTTTTTAGCATTAGCCGTTTTTTTATAATTAGAAAAGAAACTGCCTAGTTATACTACTCCTATAATAACCTGGACCGATCTGTAATAACGGGGAAGCTCCAGGGTGCGGAGCATAGTACAGGTAGAACTGCGCCGCTTGGTTTATAGCGGCAGGCCAAGAACTCCAAGAAGCGCAGGTGGGGGGAGGAGAAGCAGCGGCGGCAGCGGGACAGTTTCGGGAGAGAAAGAGAGGGGGCGGTGGGTGGGAGCGAGAGGTTGGGAAGCGGGGGAGGGCCAGTTCCTCTTTTTCGGCGGGGGCGTTTTGTCTGCCGCCGGGATGGGCGACTCCGGCGGCTCCGTCGTGTCTATTGACGTCGAGCGCATCTCCTTCGGCGGGAAGGTCCGTGCCCTCCTGCTACCTCTATCTTTCTTCCTCGAATCCGCAAATTTCGTGCCGGCGCGGTTAATTTCCGCTAGTATCGCGGCGATTTGGTTGGCGGCATTGGAGCTGCTTGGGAGGAGGATTGAAAGGTATGGGCGCCTGGAGATGCGACCTCGGTGATGATATTGGAGTTTAGCTGGGTTCATATGGTTTGATTTCTATTGGAGTAGTTGTATGCGTTGGATTGTTTGG